TCCTTCCTGTAATGAGGTGACCAGAACTGACCACAATATTCCAAGTTTGGTCTAACCATGGTTTTATAGAGCTGCAGCATAACCTCACGGCTCTTAAACTTAATTCCCCTGTCAATGAAAGCCAACATACCATACGCCTTCTTAACAACCCTATCAACTTGGGTGGCAACTTTGAGGGATCTATGGACGTGGACCCCAAGATCCCTCTGTTCCTCCACACTGCCAAGAATCCTGCCATTAACCCTATATTCTGCATTCAAATTCGACCTTCCAAAATGAATCACTTCACACTTTTCTGGGTTGAATTCCATCTGCCACTTCTTTGCCCAGCTCTGCATCCTGTCAATGTTCCTTTGCAACCTCCACACTACCCACAACTCCACCAACCTTTTTGTCATTGGCAAACTTACTAACCCGTCCTTCCACTTCCTCATCCAAGTCATTTGTAAAGATCACAAAGAGCAGAGGTCCCAGAACCTGCGGAACACCACTGGTCACCAAGCTCCAGGCTGAATACTTTCCATCTATTACCACCCTCTGTCTTCTGTTGGACAGCCAATTCTGTATCCAGACAGCCACATTTCCCTGGATCCCATGCCTCCTTACTTTCTGAACGAGCCTACCATGGGGAATCTTATTGAATGCCTTGCTAAAATCCAGATACACCACATCCACTGCTCTACCTTCAATGTGTTTTGTCACATCCTCTAAGAATTCAATAAGGCTTGAGGCATGACCTGCCCCTCTCAAAGCCAATCAGATTATGAATCCAAAATGTCTACGCAGTGATATCCAATTCCTCCCTCAATCCCCTCCTATTTCTGCAATGTCATCTAATACAACATTGCCCTATCCAAACACTTTATTCCTTCTGATCTATTTCCTCCCTGTTGTTCCCACCTTGCACTCCACTCCACCCATCCTTGCACCAGTGGATTCTTCATCCGAGTTGGTTCTACTTTCTGAAATTCAAAACATACATCTTTTTGAAGATGTAGAACACTTCGTAACGCCACCTTCCTTTTTGTCTGTGTGACAGTTTTCCATGACGTTACGACACACTTGGGTAAATGTGCTGATTCTCTAGCCCACCACTCCTGAAGTCACCACAGAAGTTAATGATTTAACTAAAAGCATTTGCACTCCCCAGTGTACTTGTCTGATTGAACCAGGCTAACAGAATACACTGACCAGGTTTTGTACTTAACAGAAACTACCCTTTTTATTACAAACATGTAAGTTTAGCCACAGGTGGGAAAAAACTATGAATTATTAACACACAACTCTACCAGGTGTAACTGTAAACACACACATAAGACTTTGGGTAGAGGATTAAGAAACACTGGGGAAACACGGCTCAACAGCGCCAGTCCACAAGATTGATGAGATGTTCTGTTTGCTTCCCAAGACTTCCTTTTCTCTGATCTCTTTCTCCAGATTCTTTTACTATTTCACAGAAGGCACAGGGCGATTGGTACGCTCTCATAAAATCTCTTTGTTACTGGTTAAAGGCAACAGCTTACAACAACTGGTGGGAGACAACAACTGGCTTTCTTCAGGCTTCAGGCACTTTTACTGCAGAGAGATACAGACATAGAACCTGCTCCTTCAGCTGTTCAGAAGCTTTTATCCTTTTATCATAAAGACTTCAGCTGTTCACTTGTCCAGAGCCAAATAGCGAACTGTTATCGAGCTGATGATTTCTGACATCCACAACTGCACTGATTAGCAACCTATAGCTGTACAAATGTCACTGTCCACACGCCTGTCCCCCATGTGCGCCATATCTTTGTCCACGCCCCCCCCCCCCCTGCCCCCACCACCAATTCATCCATTCTTGGCCTTGGACCGTAATAAAAATAAAGAAAACGAAAATGCTGCTGTTCTTACATCGTGTGCCTATGTGACATTCCTCGGGACATTCTTTATGGTAAAGATGTCACATGAATCTTGGCAACAGTAACAGGGTAAGAAAATTAATTTATTAGCAACTGAAAAATGCAGCCTGAACCGTGCTTACAAAATATAACAAATAATAGAGCACCTCAGAAATGAGCGTTAGCCAATTAGTGAAACACCAGATTCTGAGGAAACTTGCGTAGAAACATTGAAAATAGGAGTAGGAGTTAGCCATTTAGTCTTGGAGCCTGTTCCACCATTGAATATGATCACAACTGATCATCCAAATCAGTATCCATTTCCCAATTTCTTCTCATATCCTTAGATACTCAGGCTAAATGGGTCAAAGTGATGTGGGCTATTGTGAAATGTGTGGCAGAATCAGACAAGAAGTCTGGCAAGACCCATCTTGACATTGAGATCTTCTCACTCCATCTTTTATGCATTTCACAGGGGTGTGGTGATATTGCAATTTACGGGGATTAATGCTTGTTAATGCCACAATTTGCCTTATTAACATTCAGCCTCCCATCTTACCAAACTCACCAACTCACCAGACTGGGATCTGCATGCTCTGGGCAAGGATGCAGAATAATTTTGAAGGGGAAGCAGCAGGATTTGCAAGGTGGGGTGATTTAAAGTAAGGGTCAAGAAACTTGGAGATGTGAGGAATAGCTTTTTCACCTAAAGGATGGTGGGAATCTGGAACTCCATGCCTGTAAGGATGGAATTGGCAGAAATCCTCAACATTTAAGATGTATTTACATGTACACTTGAAATGCCAAGGTATGCAAGTCTATGTGCCAAGTGCTGGAAAATGGGATTAGAATAGCTAGGTGTTGTTTTTGACTGGTACACACTCGATGGGCCAAAGGGCCCTTTTCTGCCCTGTAGACCTGTATGACTGTCAAACACATGAAAATTAAGAACATTTAGGCAGAAACTGAGTGTAAAATATAAACCTTTTTCACCATGCCATCAAAGTGTTGTCAATATGTTTTCTTCTTCCTCTCACTCTCAATGTGCAAGTGCACTCTCTGGTTCCACAGGTAGGGTGGAGGGAGGCTGCTTGGTGGTGGAGCCCATTTGTTCGGGAGGTTTGGTGGGATGACCCCACGGGCACTTGTCTAGATGGGTCAGACATGCTAAGAGATCTTACTGCCACACGCAGTGTTGACCCTCGTTGGATGGTAGCTCAGGCAGGATTGAGGTGAAGGACCTGCAGTGCCCTGACAGGCCCTTGGCACTTTTCTATGTGTGGTTCCACTTCTGGCTGGATAACTCCTTGATGCTGTCTCCATGCAAAGATGGGGCACTGAACTGGGTCAGGGTTCCTCACTATCACCCCACCCCATTCGTTGCAGGTGTGAGCATCTTGTCCAGCATACTCCAGGTCTGCTGGACTTGTTCTCCATGACAACCACCAACCTGTCCATGAAGAAAATTGGATAATTGTACGATTTTTTTTGTTTTTGCATGGCTGCAGGTTCTGGCCAATGAGTGCTATTTTGTCCCAGATGCCTGTCTGCAGATCCTGTTCCTCCCTGTGCATTTGGATGAAGTCCCTGATTCGCATAACCACCGGGTCATCTCCTGCTTGTGGTTAAACAGATCCTGAGTGCCATTGACCAGGTTCCTCAGCCATGGAACTGTCACTGAGATGCACATGAGATTATGGACCCACCCTCTCTCTCCTCTGGTTCCACGGAGCTGCCAGGATCTGGGCTGGTGGGGTTGCAGGAGGGAACCTTGTTCAAGCTTCATCTGAGAAATCGGTACTGTCATCCTCTCAACAGAAGTTAAGGGAAGGCTAATGGAATCTGCAAAAACAAAGGAAGTGATCAAGACCAGTGCTAGAAATGATGTGCAATGACTGAGTGTGACAGTGAAGTTAATGTGACAGTTGAAGTGGAATGAAAAGTCATACTTACTCCTTTGGGGGGAAGAGGATGTCTCTACATTCTTACAGGAACAGTTTTAGTTTTCTCCTGTGAGTGCTGAATTCTAACCTCATACAGGTGAGGATATTGATGTCAGGCACTCCTCTACCCATAATGGTTCTCTCTCTGCCCTGTTTATGGTCTATTTTCTTCTCTAATGAGCAGAAGTGGCCAATGAGTGAGTTGACAATGGGTGGCACAACAGTTGGCACTGGTGCATGTGGGAGAAGGCAGGTGAGGTGTGCCGAAAGACTGAGGAAGCAGCTCAGACAATATGCAGGGTTAGTAGTGTGGGAGGTTGTGGGCGATGGGGAGAGTGATTGATTGTGCGAAGGTGTTGTATGCAATAGTGAGATTGGCAGAGCGTGAGCCTCAGTGGCAGATGGGTACAGTGGCAGAGATGGAGTGAGTGAATGGTAGCTAAGAGAAGTGTGTGGCATTTACCCAGGCAAAGGGGAGATGGTCACTTGCCGCCTTTCTGCATTGCTGGTCATTCCTCCACAGCTTGGAGATGGTATTGCCCTGGGTGGTGACCTCCGATCAGGCTGCCATGATATGGTGGTCTCCTCACCCAGCCTTCTGGGTAAAGGACTCCTCTCCTTCGCATCACCTGTCCACCAGGACCTCCAGGTTCCGGTTGGAGAATCGTGGTGCCTTCTTCTCTTTCTCATGTTCAGACTCTGTCTTTAACAGAGCTGGGTAGCTTCAGAATGTTCGCACCTGTCTGGGTGTACAAAAGCCTTTTAAAGGCAGCACTGAAGCAAGCGATTCTGGTGTTGTGGCAGACATCAGCTGAGAGGTGAGTTATTCCAGGAACTGTGCCTGGCAAGATGAGGATAGAATTGGATATGAGAGGTGCCAAGGAACAAGTTAGGTAATTAATGAGATGAGTTTAGTAAGAAGTGGCTGGAAAACTCATTCAGCCCTGTGGCAATAAACCCACCAAAGAACTTGATGCAATTCAGGCAAAAATACAGCTGAATTTTACATTTCTATCATTTGATGCTATGGGTTTCCACAAATCTATTTAATTTCTGTCTTTAGTTTTCTCAATGATTCAGCTTCCAAAACTCTCTGGGAATGAAAATTCCAAAGTTTCAGGACCCTCAGTGAAAAGCTTCTTCCTTATCTCAGTTTTTAAGTAATCTTCCCCTTATCCTGACGCTATATCCCCTGGTTTTAGACTCCCCACCAGGGGAAACATCTCCGTTACATCTACATCCAACTTGACACACCCTATTAGAGCTTTCAGTGAAATTGCCCCTCATTTTTCAAAACTCTATGGAATACAGACCCAGTGTCTTCAACCTCTCTTCCTAAGACAAACCTGCTGTCCCAAAGGTTCATCTGATGACTCTATGCTGCATTGCCTTTATGGCAAATATATTCCTCCTTGGATTAGGGGACCAAAACTGTAGCTGATTCATAACATGAGTTCTCCCCAAGGTTCTATACAACTGCAGTGCAGCATCTTTACTCCTGTACTGAAACCTCCTCAGAGTTCCCTTTGGGTATCAGCAATGATCTTGGCTGAGTTTACGTTGAATACATCTTTCTTCTTACAGGTGTCTGTTGTCTCCTCCAACAGTGAAGGTGCAGATTTGAGTCACTTGGCAGAGGGAGTTTGAAGCTTTCAAGGGCAGGAAATGTGCATATGGGGTGACTTAGTAGGGCAAGTCAGCAGTAGGTATGTGGTTTGCCGAACATTAAACTGGCCTGTGGCAGGTTCTTACATTTGTATGTCATGAATAGTCCTCTGAGATAATGTTCAATCTTGCCTTCAAAGTAGTCACTGGTGTACAAGAACTTCATTCAGCTATTTAAAGGTGATGGACATCTGTCATGCCACGCTCATCTGTCTTGCAAATCTACTATATCTTGTCTACAATTATTCTATGACATCCTCCCCCTGACTATGCCTATGGTGACCCCTTTTCTATAAAACTGGGCACTGTTAGAAATGTTCAACAAAGACTGAATGCAGAAACACAACAATTTTTGTTTTGCAATAAATGAAATATCCTTAACACCCCCGTAACCATTATTGTGTGCCAACTATCTGGATGCCAGAACACATAGCTGTCTGTTTTTGTTGAGACAAACTTCAATGATGCACAAATGAATAAATTGAAACCCATGAAATGTGAAATATTTACAAGAGAAATTTAATTTTGAAATACATCCGTATCATCCTTGTGTTCTGAGAGGTTGGGCAAGTAAGTTAAGGGTCTGCATCACAGCCACCCTGTGTGATCAACAGGCTCTTTATTAGATCACCTATAGACACAACCTTGTTAGCTGATGGTGGGTTTCATCGATGTAAAGCATCCCCAGGCACTAATTGCAATCTCGTTGTATTTATGCTGCTGGGACTTTAGCATTTTAATTATAATCATGTGAGAAGAAGCAAAAAGAATTTGTTGATGTAGGCATTACTGCTTTCCATTAGAGAAAATGTGGATAGAAATTTCCACTGCACAGTCAGCAGTGGGATCTGCTTCGAGGAATTTTCCAAGCAGGGTATTGCTGTCTCTGTGACTAAGATAGATGTAGAGTCACTAAGTGTTCCCCTGATAGATTTGTGTGGTTTTCTTCCATAAACATCCTGGTAGAAATTTTGCCTGTTAAGGATATTACCTGAATTCAGATTCTGCAACATTTGTCTTTCCAAATGAAGACTTGCACATTTAACTTGTTTTGCAGGCACTAAGGGAAGAAATAAAGGGGAATTCACTAATTTACAGGGAGTGGCAACTTCCACCAGTGGAAAGATCATGATTGCAGACAGTAACAATCAATGTGTACAGGTGAGGATATTTTGCAAAACTTTTCCATTCTTATGTTGTGTGTCCTACTTAACTCTGTTGCGTGGCCATTACTTAGTTATATCAATATATTCTCCTTAACTGCTAAATGATTTTCACAGCATTCTCCTGTACAGCCCAACTTGGGTGAACACTTTGCAGCTCCACATGTTCTTCTCATGCTCCAGACGCCACCCTGAACTGCTGCAGTCCACTGGGTGTAGGTACACAACAGTGCTGTTAGGAAACCAGTTCAGGATTTTGTTCTATCAGCAATGAAGGATCAACAGTATATTTCCAGAGTGGTATATACCTTAGAGGAAAACTTGCAAGTAGCAGTGGTTCCACACATCTACTGCCCCGTCCTTCTAGCTGGCAAGTGTTGCAGGTTTGGACGTTGCTGTTGAAGGAGCATTAGTGAATTCTTACAGTGTATCCTGTATATGCAAGGCCACTTGCAGATTTCCCCACTTCATCAGCCATGCTGCAGACAATGGGATAGAACTGCGTAGGAGTGCCAGACTAGGTAAGGATGCCCTCAGGACAGCCAGAAAGAGGAATCGTAATGCTGAATGGTCAGTCTTTCCACATATTATTCAGTGTTGTGACATCATGTTATTAATGGAATTGTTTTTGAGGAATGCATTTTATTTCGGGATTCCAGCCAAAGACATTGATCAACTCAGAAGTGGAATGGAAAGTTGGAAAATTGTTGAGCAATGGTGAAGTAGGGATGACTTTGGGAATTGGACTCATGAGCAGCCCAGTCCAAATGGAGGAATCCTGCAGGCTGGCTCTTCATCTTCTGCTTGAGGTGCCCATCGAAAGCCTGAAGATGAAGGAAATGCCCTCATGAAAGCAGTTTGCAAAGGATGCAGCTGGCACCACCATTTGGGAGAGGGCCGCTGCCAATACTGAAGGGCCTCTCCAAACTTGCACCCATCACCACCCGGAGGAAAAACTGAAGAACACTGGGACTCTTAGATTGCTTTCAGCAGAATTGCCTCATTCTGTACTGAGTTATTCTATGATTCTATACCCCTAAATTCTGACACTAGACTTTCTGCTGGCAGGTCTTCAAACTCCTCTGAATTCCTTGGCAAAGTCCAGCACCAATCCTGAACCCAATCGCTTTTCAAACTTCCTCCATCAACAGCGAACAAAGTAGTTTCACCTTGAAAAGTGGCAAAATAAGCTGAAAAGCACCTCATCTGAAAGTCTGATTGTTTGTTGATGTCTTTAAATAGGACTAATGAAGCAGACTGGGGAATGGGGAGAGGGAGGTGCAGTGTGTTAGGGGCTGATCTTCATATGCCTTTTCAGCTAGAAATATTTGAAGTGGCAAAAACATAATCTGTACAGTTCAAAATGGCAGACTGGGCACCAAATCAATATTGGACATGGTTTGCCATTACAATCTATGCACACTGTTTCTGGTGCATGCACTGAACTCCCATGCTAAAGTTCTGACACACCGCACTATGTTTGTAAGAAATGGTCACAGCAATTTGGCTGCCATAATGCAAGCTTGAGTATTGAACATTTGACTGTGTGATTTCCCCTACTTTTAGAACTTTCTGACAGTATCAATTTATGTTGGCGAATTAAGAGGGTTCTTCTGCAGTTAAGTAAATACTTAGGAAAAGTTAGGAGTTAGACTAGTATTTAATCATCTGAGTAACTGTTCAACTAACCCCAAATTACCTCTCATATCCCCCAAGACTGCCTACACCCAGACCCCCATTTTGCTCCAGACTTCCCCTCTGCTCCCTCTCCCCTTGGAGGCTCCTGCTGTCAGAGCCCACCCATTTCCCCCCAACCCACTCCAGACAGAACATTTGTCACCTACTCTGAAGACTCCACTTGAATGGAGTGTTTACCACCTTGCATCCTGGCACTTCACCCACTGACCATTTACTCTCCCGGTACCCTATTCTCTCCCATACCGTCCGTACTTGCCTTTCACACTGGCTGCCAAAGTGACTGTCTATGATACTGGATTGTTTAAATCACATAATGCGACACCTGACGGCTGTTTTTAAAAAAAAAAAAGGGGTGGGGTTTGCTTTTCCCGTTCTATGCTACGAGAAACCCATCAGAATGGAAGTACAGCTACGCCTCGTTGAAAGAAACCGGAGTCTCCTGTCAGAAATACGATGTTCTTTCGTACAGCACAAATGAAGTGGAGTAGCAATCCGTGTGAGATTGCCATTCCTTGGGAAATCCAGCCTGAAATTAATGCACCATTCAAAGCGGGTTTTCCTTAAGGAATGGTACAGACTAGGCCTCCTGCAGTGCCACAACGATTCCACCCGAAGGTTGCAGGAACAGCAGAACAGCCCAATGGTATCAATGTGGATTTCACAAGTTTCAAAATCTCCCCTCCCCCCACCGCATCCCAAAACCAGTCCAGCTCGTCCCTGCCTCCCTAACCTGTTCTTCCTCCCACCTATCCCCTCCTCCCACCTCAAGCCGCATCTCCTACCGACCAACCTCATCCCGCCCCCTTGACCTGTCCGTCCTCCCTGGACTGACCTATCCCCTTCCTAACTCCCTACCTACACTCACCTTTACTGGCTCCATCCCCGCCTCTTCGACCTGTTTGTTTCCTCTCCACCTATCCTCTCCTCTATCCCTCTTCTATCCGCCTCCCACTCTCTCCCTATTTATTTCAAAACCCCCTTCCCCTCCCCCTTTTCTGATGAAGGGTCTAGGCCCGAAACGTCAGCCTCTCTGCTCCTATGATGCTGCTTGGCCTGCTGTGTTCATCCAGCCCTGCACCTTGTTGTCTCGGATTCTCCAGCATCTGCAGTTCCTACTATCTCTGGTACAGACTATCATTCTGGGTTCTCCATTAGGCCTGACTGACTGTGATCTGTGTGTTAAAGTAGAACCAGATAGAGATGTTTTATTATTAGAAATTATACAATATTATATTTGATTCATTACTTCAACTTTGATTAAGATGTATTAAACTCGTGTTCTAGATTTTCTCAAATGATGGCCAATTTAAAAACCGGTTTGGTGTTCGTGGCCGATCTCCTGGGCAGCTGCAGCGTCCAACAGGAGTAGCTGTACACCCGAGTGGTGACATTATCATCGCTGATTATGACAACAAGTGGGTGAGCATTTTTTCACCAGATGGGAAATTCAAGGTGAGCACATAGTCTTTTGTAGTTTCTGTGCATGTCTGCATGTAAATATGGCCAAAATATTTGTCAAACATTTTTGTTTATCGTTCATTAAACAACTCTAAAGAAAATTTAATTAAGTTTTCAATGAATCCATCATTCAAGACTGTGCACAGCGCTTACACTGCTGTCTCACAACGCCAGGGACCAAGGTTCGATTCCAGCCTCGTGCGACTGTGTGTGGAGATTGCAAATTCTCCCCATGTCTGTGTGGGTTTCCTCCAGGTGCCCACAGTCCAGGAACGTGCAGGTTAGGTGGATTGGCCGTGTTAAATGGCCCATAGTGTCCAGGGATGTGCAGGTTAGGTGCATTAGCCATAGGAAATGCAGGGTTACAGGAATAGGGTGGGATGCTCTTCAGAGAGTTGGTGTGGACTTGATGGGCTGAATGACCTGTTTCCACACTGTAGGATTCTATGATAGATGGATCGTGTTATTATAATATTGGTGCAGTCTTTGTTTTTAAAGTGCACATAATCAGTCCAGTGCAATGACAATTTCTAGTTTGTTAGATAACATATGGTTTAAAAAAAAATCAGATTTAAATCAGTGTTGGGATCACAACTGCTCTTATTATATATAATAAATCTGGATGAAGGAATTGAGGGCATTGTTGCTAAGTTTGCAGATGAGACAAAGATGGATGGGCAGGTAGTGTAGAGGAAATGGGCAGGCTGCAGAAGGACTTGAACAGGCTAGGAGAGAGGGCAAAGAAGTGGCAGATGGAATATAACTTGGGAAGGTCTGAGGTCACACAATTTAATGGGAGGAATAGAAGCATAGACTCATTTCTAAATGAGGAAAGGCGTCAGAATTCTGAAGCTCAAAGGGGCTTGGGAGTCCTAGTTTAGGATTCTCTTAAAGTTAACGTTAAGGTTCCATTGGCAGTTAGGAAAGCAAATGCAATGTTGACTTTCATTTCAAGAGGACTACCTTACAGGAGCAGGTATGTACTGCCAGGCTGTATAAAGCTCTGGTCAGATTGCATTTGAAATATTGTGAACTGTTTGGGCATGTATCTAATGAAAGATATGCTGGCCTTGAAATGAGTTCAGAGGAGGTTTACAAGAATGATCCAGAGGACGAAGGACTTCTTGTATGAGAAGTGGTTGAGGACTCTGTGTTGGTACTCGGTGGAGTTTAGAAGGATAGGGGTGGTGGTGATCTGACTGAAACTTACAGGATATTCAAAAGCCTGGATAGTGTGGGCATGGAAAAGATCTTCCACTAGTAAGAGACCAGGACCTGAGGGCACAGCCTTAGGGTGAAGAGACAACCCTTTAGAACTGAGATGAGGAGGAATTTCTTCAGACAGAGGGTGGCAACTCTGTGGAACTCATTTCCATAGAAGTCTGTGGAGGCCAAGTCATTGAGTGTATTTAAGAGTGAGATAGGCTCTTGATTAGAAAGGGGATCAAGGGTTACGGGGAGACGGTGGGAGAATGGGATTGAGAAAACTATCAGCCATGATCAATTGGCAGAAGAGATTTGATGGGCTGAATGGCCTAATTGTGCTCTTACCTTATGGTCTAAATGGGTACTGGTTTAAGAAATCTGCACTAAAATGGGCATTTAATATGTTTCTTTGAAATTAGACATCATGTGATCTAATGCACTGAAGATTGAGATAGAATCAAGACTCTATAGGGATGGGAGGCAGTTAAAATGGGCCAAGGGGTTTTGCTTTTCTCTTCAATCATAGGAAGTTTGTAAATTTAAAAAAAAAAAAAAATCTACTTGAGGCATGAACGCATGTAGCCTACACTTAAAAAGCACAATTTCAAGGATTGCAATTGTTTAGTTTGAGTTGATTGTTTTATTGACTATGCTTCACTAGAATATCATATTTGGTTCATCAGGGAAATTAAATATAGTGAGATTAAAGTGTTCATCATTTGCTGGTCAGAAGCTATGGGAAGCATGGGAATGTACACAGGATTACAGTCTCTAGTGCTCACACGGATTCTTGTAACTTGAGAATATGAAGCATTAACTTGAAACTTGCATTTCAAATGGCAGCCTTCAGAAATCAAAAACCCACATACGCTACACCTCAGAAGAGCCAGTGGAAATGATTTTTTTTTTCCCATTTCATTCCAAATGCACAAGATTTCTCAAATCACCACCTCTTCTGGTGATCCATGAGGCTGACAAAGCACTGACTTTGGTCTGTGTTTGCATCATTCATATTTCCTGGAACAGGTCACAGCCAGAAGTCAGAGGCTTGAGTGTGCCGCTTCTTATCAAGCAAGGCTGTTGAGGCAGCTGTCTCTCCTGTTTGTTCCAACAGGCCAATAGGATTTGGGGTTTAATGACTGGTTTGGCTGCATTATGAATGTATTATCCATGAGTACCAAAACCTGGTATGGAATTTAAACTCTGAGCTTCTGGCTCTGAGATATGGATGCTACCTGTTGTGCCGCAAGATGCCCCATGTAATTTTCTGATGCCCATTGTTAATGTGGTGACTTGGCCATTAATGATAAATTATGTTTCTCCCAATAATTCATTTATGAATTAAATATTTGACTTATTCTTTTGATTACCCTTGATTTTAGTTTAGATTTACGTCTTCAGAACAAATCCCCCATCAAGGTTTTGAGCTAGGTGGACCTTTATTTAATGTTATGGTCTTGAGGTGATTTTCTCAAAGATTGCTTTCCTCAAATGTTTTTAAATAAAGGCAAGTTACTTTGAAGTTATCCATGGTTCTCCCCCACGTCAGCTGTGGCTTCAAGTCCCCGTCCAGGTAACTGAAAACAAATTGAGGCTCATAATCCATATAGTGCTGAGGAAATACTACAGTAAACAAGACCCCATGTGCTCTCTCAGGTGTATGTTTAAAGATTGTGAGACCATTTTGAAGTTGAACAGGGAAGATATCCTTAGTGTCCTGGTCATTATCTCATCACCCCTCAATACGATAAAATCATTTTGTTTGGTAATTATTGCTTTGCTGTTTATAAAATCTTGTGCACAAATTGTCTCCATAACAGCAGTCACAACTTGTCAAAAGTATTGACTGTAAAATACTTAGGACATCCAAAGACTGAAAAACATTATGACTTGGATTTTTGCCAAGATGGGATGAATAACCTTAAAAATGTCAGGCAGATCCAGATTCTAGGATTCCCGACCACATTCCTAAGCTTTAATTTTCAGGAGCGCCTTTTAAGGATGCAAGCTGGTTCAGGGTGCCCATACCCAGTACTCCTGATCTGGCTGGCTGCATTGCAGAGATGGACATGACCAGTTGCTCTGCAATTTTTAATGAGTTGAGCCAGCTTTTTGAAGGGTCATGGGTCAGGCCACCTCTGGGATCATGAACTGTATCTGCAAGAGACAACCTTTGAAATGCGAGTTCAAAAGGTGGCTCTTATGTCAGCAAGCAGTGGCATTTCTGTGTGTCTTGATGCTATAAGTGTATAGTTATAGAGTGGGTCAATGAATCTTATGGTGACAACAGGATGTGTTTACAAACTCAGAAGACAGACATTTATTCATTACTTCTTGCCTTTTTAAAAGGCAAAGTGACTATCAGCCAGTGCCTTTGAATGCAAACACTTAACCTTTTAATCTTGTGTAAATAAACATCATGCAATTGACAGCAGAAAAGGAGAGCGATAGCCATCCATTCAATGTTCATTTGTTGTTGGAGCTAATGAACAGAGTAATGGATTTCTAGCCTCTCAGCCAAGAATATAAAAATGAGGTGCCGCACATGGGTCACGGAAGAGGGCAGGGACGTACTATTGACCACTGAGAGATCTTGTCGCATTCATGAGGTCAGGCATTTTTTAAATAGCCTGTCTCAACACAAAGCAGCCTCTGTGACTGTCTCCAACCTCTTATTCAAGTCAACTAACTCCACTAAACATGTACCTGCGCCCAACAGATGAAGATCTTTGTGAGTTCTTTATCCTGATGTAGGCACTTGAAGCCAGCATTTTTCCTGGCTTCCACTACCTATGCTGGTGATTTGAAAACCCAGGAATGTATAATTGCATGTCTCTTCCCTTTAGGTGCTTCTGATTTTTTTTTTTGTGCAGCTACTCGTTCCACTTGATAAGGGTGGTGGATGCAGATTTGATAGTAACTTAGAAAAGAGAATTAGTTAAATAGTTGAAAAAGAAAAATGTACATAGGAAAATGGGACTGATTGAACAGCTCTTTCAAATACCTGACACTAGGCATAACGGTCTAAATGGTGCCTTTCTGAACCTAATCTTGATGCTAGGATTCTAACGCGAACAAAGAATGTATGCCTTATATAATATACATATTTTGTAAAAAAGACCTTTTCCCACATATTTTGTGCATTTGGATGCCCCTTAACTTGTTAAATCGTCACTCTATTAGCAGTTTTCAAAGTAGTCAAGTAAAACTCCATTTTATCTACCCCATAGACAGCAATTAAAACAAACCATACTGCGATATCAAGGCGGTGCACCCTTTTGGAAGGCCAATGCAGTAGAATCTGGACCTTCCCTAAAATTCCTCCAGTTTTACTGTGTCACTTACAAAGTGACTTTGGAAGAAGTCTGGGGGTGGAGAATGTGCTCATTTGGCTGAGGGGAGAAATTGAGAATAAAAATGTCAAATAACTTCATATGTTTGCATTCCATTCTCTCCTGACAGACTAAGCTAGGCTCTGGGAAGCTTTTGGGACCAAAAGGTGTTGCAGTGGATCGGAATGGTCATATAATTGTAGTGGACAACAAGGCTTGCTGCGTCTTTATTTTTCAGCCTAATGGGAAGCTGGTGACAAAATTTGGTAATCGAGGAAACAGTGACAAGCAGTTTGCAGGTACACTTGATGGTAATACTTGAACCCCCTTTCTTGCCTCTTCTGCACACATTTGCATGAAGACTCTGCATGGTCAAAACTTGTTTCATAAATTCATCGCATGCTTGTTCTTGTCCTGAGCAAGATGATAACTGCATGATTCCTGCCAAATGTATTTCATCAGTTGTCATAAGTATAAGATTAATAAATCCAAGAAAAGATACATGTCTGTTAAGACTTGCTGAAAACTGTGTTCTGGAGAGCAAACTGAGGGGGAAAAATTACACACTTAGGAATTGTGCAGACTCCCGTTTAATGAATAACCACTTTTTTTTGTCTCCTGTCCAGAAATAAACTTGATTGTTTACAAGCTCTATACATGCTTAAGACATACCTCTGAATTACTCTTAAATGTTTATTTACAGTCTTTACAAGATGGTAAGGCTACAGAGCTGCACCCTCTTCTTCTACCAGAATACTAGCGCAACTACTGATGTCACAGTTAGATCATAGGTTACCTGAGCGGCTCATCTACACATTGTTGTAAAGATAACGTTTAATTAATGAACAAACAGTCTGTGCTTTTAAAAATACCCTCTAACGACATTTGCCAAATCAGTTGTTCAGGTGGTGCTACCTAAATAGATACTTCTCATTTGTGTAGCTAGTGTTTTACACGAATACCACGGAAATTGCATGTTTTCAACATGGGGGGAGACTCTGGAAATGATTAACAGTGGCATCATTATGCTCTGAAATTTAGTAATCTGTTAGAGAATAAAGTGTCCAACCAGTGGAGTGGAAATTTTCCTAGTATTTCATGTTGTGGCCTAGTGTGGCATCTTTATTTTTATAACAGCAGTAGACACATGGCATCATAAAAGGTATAATGTCTTGCCAAAATGTGTTTAAATTTATTATAGATCCATGTATTTTAATTTAATACTTTTTTGCTCTTTTTCAAAAGAAGGTTGCCTGTTCTATAATAACAAAGTGCGCAGCTGGAGGAACGCAGCAGGCCAGGCAGCATCAGAGGAACAGAAAGCTGATGTTTCGGGTCAGGTTCAGATTTTTCTAAGAACGGTCCCGACCCGAAACATCAGCTTTCCTGTTCCTCTGATGCTGCCTGGTCTGCTGTTTTCCTCCAGCTCCACACTTTATTTTTCTTATGTCTGATCTGTCTTTTTCCATTGTGCTATTTTTTGTGTTTGTGGGGAATTTATGGTGTCTAAGGTTAATATGGTTGTAATTCAAGATCAAAAAAAGTCAATATTTAGGACATTAGTTGTAGAATGCTCCAGAATATTTATTTGTTGTTTTTTTGTGACACTTCCTTGTAGCAGAAGAATACGAATGTAACCATTTAGCTTAGTAAAGGTGGTATTCATTGTTAGGAACTTATAGCGATTTGAATTTTCAATCCAGAATATTGACCTTAAAGAAGTATGTTGCTTTAAACAAAATATATATAAACTTATTTTCCTTAATCTGTTATATTCTCATTTGATTGCAGTTGACTCAAGCATCATTCCCAGAAATTGTTTAGCTTTTTTGGCTTGTTTTAAAGATTTTCTGAAGACCCTATTTAGAGAAAGTAGTACTTGCTGCCTGATTTACGACATTTTTTTTTTTTTTGGAGGAGCATCATTTTAGAGAGGAAAATTAACTTAATGCAGATATAATGTTACAATCTTAATCTTCAGGGCAAATTGCTTTTTGATTTTTTTTGTTTGCAGATTATTTGATGCTCAAGGTATTAGCAGACTTATCAATTTTTCTGTCACAAAGGAATCATGTCCACACATGTCAACCACTTCCATACAAGTTATCTTCCCTTTTTAAAAATATGCACCTCACATTTGGAATTGTTTGACTTCTTTGATGTTCCAGTTGTCTGTTACATCTACTCTGCAGAGCTCTAACAGCCATGATATTTACATGGTCAGAAGCTATATTCATTGTGATGCTAAATGGCTGTTTAGTAACTGATGAACTTCAATGGTTTTATGAAATGTAAAAGAGAAAGGAGTCCAGCAGAAACCGTACCAATCCATTACAATAGTACAAGCAAAAGATTTAATTTGGTAGTATTTTGAAAGTGGTGCTTTCATTTTCCAATTAACTAACTAATGTATACTATGCTTTCCCATTGTCAGAATAGATGAATCTGAGTTACCACTAACCACATTCCATGTCTTTTTTAGAATTGTAAAGATTGCTACTACAGAGGAAAACCATTTTGTATAATGTGCCTGCATGAGCTTTGTTCGAGAACAATCCAAAACTAATCCCAATCCTTAGGGGAGAAAACAACAGCATTTTATTAACTTATTTCAGATATTTACCCACAACTCCTTTTTAAGTAAAATGATGGTCCTTTCCTCGAATGCTCCCTGTGGTAAAACACTCCAAGCTTCAGAAATACCATAACGTTTTGATTTGGTAAACTTTTTTTTTCCAAAATCAGGGGGCTTTCGTTCAGGAATTGAGTTTATCAAAATGCAAATTGTTGGAAATGCAGCTTTGGTTCCTCCATGCAAATTTTATAAAATGGAATGTTCCATATACCATTTACTTTTCATCCGACTCTCATATCAACCCAAACTAGTATTTCAAAGAAGGCCACGTGGTTGTGTTTAGAGCACATTTTGTGACTCAAAACTAATTGTTCAATGTTTTTAAAAAAAACATATATTGACTATGTTGCTAATTTCCCACTTTCTTTTCTTTTCCAGGGCCTCACTTTGCAGCAGTCAACAACAATAATGAAATCATTGTTACAGATTTTCATAATCATTCTGTTAAGGTATACAAAGCTTTACATTTTGCTAATCTGTTAGACCTAACTTGGTTAAAGATGAGCAAATGCAGAGAGCTGGAAATGCTCTTCTGTGCAATCCAATTTCTTAACAAATCAAGACAAAGCGGTACAGCTCTGACTTGGAAACTCAACTGAGGTGATGGATATCATTGCTGTTTTCTTTAAAATGTTACTTCCTGAACTGTCAGCACACATTAAGACCAGCTTAAAAGCGCCTCTGCTCCAGCTGTCAAATTCTGTTTTTCATATTAACCATTTTTGCAGGCTGTCAGATTGCCAACTTGTACTGGAATAATGGTTTAGAATTAGCTGTGCAGACAAAGATACTAGGAAAAAAATTAAGACTGTCCTCACTTACTTATTATTATATGTGGAATTTCTAACAGAAAGGGGAAGCATTTCATTCCATTTTTGAGGTGGGTTGAAACTTTGTTCCCAGTGATCAGAGTGTTGTGCAATTTATTTTCCTCTCCTCTTCCAGCTTATTTTGGGTATTTTAGATTTAGGGCACAGGTTCCAATGCCTTCTTTTGCCTTGTAGATTTGCTGTATTTTAATAATTGGGAATAATGTCTTCTATATGATGTGAATTTTTTAATAGGAGCTTACATTCAAGTCCTTATCTTCAATAATTGACTGCTGTATTTACAACGCAGCCTTCTTACAGTCCAGAGTGAAATGAGACTTTATCATAAAATAGCATGCTATCTGACTTGCTGCTCTAATTCTACAAATCTACTAGAAGTTTGAGGATTATAACTGGGATAAAGGGCAGCCAATGGATGTAGTTTACTTGTGCTTTCGAAAAAGTCGCACATAAGAAGTTAGCATGTAAAGTTAAAGCACATGGGATTGGGGTTGGCATACTGAATTTGGCAGAGAACTGATTGGCAGACAGGAGACAAAGAGTAAGAATAAATGGATCTTTTTCCAACTGACAGACAGTGACTAGTGGGGTACTGTAGGGATCATTGCTTGGATGCCAGCTAATCATAAAATATATAAATGATATAGATAAGGAAACTAAACGTAATATCTTCAAGTTTGCAGATGTCAAAGCTAGGGACAGGGTGAACTGTGAAGTGGATGCAGAGATGTTTCAATGTGATTTGGACAAGGTGACTAGGTGGACAAATGCCTGGCAGATGAAGTATAATGTGGATAAATGGGAGGTTATCCACTTTGGTAGCAAAAACAGGAAGGCAGTTTATTATCTGCATGGCAATAGATTGGGAAAGGGGAAGTACAACAAGACTGAAAATATGCATGCAGGTGCAGCAGGCAGAGAAGGAGGCAAATGACATTTTGGCCTTCAGAGTTAGTGTGTTCAAGTGTAGGAGCAGGGAAGTCTTATTGCAATTGTACACAATTTTGCTGCGACCACACCTGCAGTATTGTGTACGGTTTTGATCTTCTAATCGCAGTAAGGTTGTTTTGGCTGTGAAGAGAGAATAAACTTTTAATAGACTGATTCTTGGAATGGCAGTACTGATGTATGAAGAGAAACTAGATTGGTTATGACTATATTCACTGGAGTTTAGAAGAATAAGGGATATTGAAGGATTGGTTTGATCTGTTTATCATTGACTATTAATTCATTATCCCAAATTTTCTATTTTGGTCTGGTTGTGCTATTACTAATAATGAATGATCATGCATATGCTCTTCTATCCATGTATTCTCCAAACTTTGTCCTGACACTTATGTGACACTGAAGCAAACTTGAAACTGCATTGAATAAAGTTTCTATTCATCCACTGCAAATCCTTGGACAAACAATGAAAATGGCATTTCTTTGCAGACTTAAACTATATTACTTGCAATATTTGTTTCAAAGCTAAACCAGGTTTTTTTTTATTTGAGGGGGTAGAATCCCTTAAGTGTGGAAGCAGGCCATTCTGCCATTGGATCCACACTGATCCTCGGAATATCCCACCAAGACCCACACCCACTTCCCTACCCTGTAACCCTCCATTTCCCATGATTAATCCTCCTCTCCTAAATATCCCTGCACACTATGGGCAATTTAACATGGCCAATCCACATGACTTGCACAGCTTTGGACTGTGGGAGGAAACCAGGGCACCTGGAAGAAATCTACGCAGACGTGGTCGAATCGAACGGGGTCCCTGGCACTGTGATGCAGCAGTGCCAATCACTCAGCCACCATGCCACTCCAAGATAGTTAACTACTTCAAATTTCAACATGATTTTTAACTGTTTTGGGTTTTCAATGGGTTCAGTTCACTGAAATGAATTAAGGATTCATGCACAGACAAAAGTAAGGCCAAACAGGTTTTTAACTTGATTGCAATCTGTGTAAAGACAATAATTTTATTGAACACCAAAGAACCAGATTTTCCCATTGGAGGGCAGCAGTGATCCCTTTTTTTTTTGCCCCTGCTCTGTCCCTCAAATGCCTTGAAAGAAAATTTCAGAGTTAGGGTCTTAATAACATTAGAGATTAATCTACTTCATGGCTGGCATGGGACTGAGTGAAAACTGAGATGGAACTCTGGGGAAATGGGTCACATTCCAGCCTAAATTTAAGTGGCTGCTGTCCCTGTATGATATTATTATAAAAAACCTTCTTTGACATAGTCAGAGCCAATGAAAAGCTGGGACCTAGACTAAAGAAGGTTGGTTAGTAAAATGTTATTACTGCTCAGTCACTTCTTGTTCAAAGTTTCACATTTTTGTACTAGATCTAAGTTTCAACCATTCCCTTTGATCATTTCTGTCAGGTTGTAGCTGGTCAGCTTTGGAATACCTAACTGCTACGTTCCTTGAAAATCCAGAGCAGTCAGAAGTGAGCACTTAACAAGCTCCCTAATGACCTCCATCTGCACAAATTAACAAGGCAATTGACTTGCTTTCACTCTAACCCCACCCCCATTTGTGGGGAAGTCAAAATTGGGAATGGAGATAACAGACTGGCACACAGACTACTATCATTTTATTTACACTAAAAGCAATACTGGAGATATTAAAAGAAAATGTAGGAAAGTGTTAGATATACTCAACAGGCTTGGCATCATCCGTGGAGAGAAAAACAGGGTTACTCTTTCAAGTTCAATCTGATTATTCTTCATAACCTTTTTTTTTTTTTGCCATCCTGTTGCCGTTTCATCTTGATTTTGTATAGGAAATCTCTACCCTAAGTATTAGTTTAAAATGTTCCAATATTGTCAGTTTCTTTAATATGTGCAACATATCTCATTTTAAATATAGGTATTTAACACAGATGGCGAGTTTGTGTTAAAGTTTGGTTCCAATGGAGAAGGAAATGGCCAGTTTAATGCTCCCACAGGAGTGGCAGTGGATTCCAATGGAAATATTATAGTTGCTGACTGGGGAAACAGTCGTATACAGGTAATGTGAATATAGTTTTAATGACAAAGTTACATATCTTGTATTTATGTCACTAACTTGTTCCTTAGCTAATTGATACTACAAAATTGGTAAACACAGATTGAACTATACTCTTTTAAAAATTCTGTAGCTTTGAATAAACAGAAGGAAAATCTGAAATTAATCTTTGTGCTCTCTTTAAATTCTGATTTATTTGTATTTTAAACAGGTTTTTGATGGAAGTGGATCGTTTCTCTCCTATATTAACACCTCAGCTGATCCTCTTTATGGACCTCAAGGTCTAGCATTAACCTCAGATGGTCATGTAGTAGTAGCTGACTCTGGAAATCATTGCTTTAAAGTTTATCGCTATTTGCAGTAACAGCTGCTTTTTGGATCTATAAATCCAATTGGAACTGGATTCCGATGAGTTCCTATGTTAACTCACTAAGTTTACTTTTAGGATGGGAGTGGCCTGTTGAAGATTGTTTTTGTTTGTTGCCTTTTCCTGCCCCAGGTTATTTAAGTAAACTAAATGTGGAAGAATATGTGCAGTTTTATACCCAGGATTTCCTCTAACTTTCATTGTGCTGTGGTCTAGCCACAAAGGAATCGAACAGTGTTATCATAAAACTAATAAATTAAACAGATGATTGCACATTTTGGATATGCAGACAAATAATGGAGAATGTAGCTAGCTGCTCATGAATTTAGGAATAAAACGTACTAGCTAATTATTAAACAGAAACTGCGTTCATTCTGTACTGGGAGCTTTCACATCAAATATCCAAATGTGCGTGTGTGTGTGTGTCTGTCTCTGTCTCTCGAGTATGTGGTTGCAAATGAGCAAATGGCAGAAAGCAGCCATTCTGGGTGACATTCAAGAGTAAATTGAGCACCTGATTTTGAGCTTATGGATGTCTTTCTGATTCTTAAATTTAATGACTGTTGCTGCCCTTGTTCACAGCTACATTTTTATTTTTTATAACATATATATATATATATCTACTCTCTGACTAGGTCTTACTATTAAACCCTTGTATTTTAGTATGGAGGGTACATCACTGGAAGTCTGTAGTGAATGCATTAAGTCATTTTCTCACAATTGCGTCACATTAATGCGGACATTCCATTAAATATCCCAATTAGCTATGATACTAATTCCAGAATAATACCACTTATTTTGCACCAGGGTGTAATGGTATAAAGCAATTCTGCAGCAAATTCATGAGGGAATTGACAGCCTAGTATATATTGTGCTTTAATTCCTTGACAACTTTTAAAATAATGGCATCAAATATAAGAAACCTGGTTGTTTTATCACAATTCCTGGTTTTAACCAAAGTCCATGATGCATGCTATGTGCCGCTCTGTTAGCTGTGCAATCTGTCACTTTTGATGCAAGAGATCAAGCTTGAAAAGAATAAAACATTAATACTAGCCTTGGATTATTTAATGTATCCTAAATTAAACAGGTATAATCCTGCTGAGCAAAAGGATACAAAATGAAAGTACGTGTACGCCTTCATTAAAATTTCCACTGCCGCTATTTATTGAACTTGCTCGGTTTGTTGAATGATTTGCTAGTTTTTCTTGCAGTCTACTCAGGTAATTAGTCGCATCTATTTATCATTATTTTAATTTGTGCTAAGGTTGCATAATTGGAAAACATTTGTCAATCTTTTGAAATGCACTAAAATATTAAAAGTTGATTGCTCATTTACATTCGACATGACTATAATCTCTTTTAATCTGTGGCTGCTGTTTTAGAACTATTTAATTGCTGAAGTGCACATTTTTTTTTCATGTGGGGATGGGAAGTGTGTGAAGAGGAGGAAGAAAAATCAAGATAATGTAAATGGTTAATAATGTGTGTAGATTAGTAATCCTTTATTTGGACCAGTAATTAACTGCATTCTCCCTTGTGGGAAATAAAGAACAAAGTACTGCATTAGGCTGTAAATTTAACATTATGTTTGTAAAAATGCTCAACAAAACTATTTATATTTTATCTCAATGTATTAACAAATGCCTCTGTTGCCAAATGTTCGGGGAAATTGTTTGGAAGAATATGTTCAAAACACTGAACAATGATGCTAAAGGTGGTATTTTGAGTAGCTGAAGCTTGGATGTGCTGTGTGTAAGTGTAAGCCCTCTTGCTCTCCTTTTTTGTTGTATTTAAAAGACTGGAATAGGTGACTCCTGTCTCCTCTCCCGCCACGTACCCATCACTGAAGTTTGCATGGCATGTAACAGCATGGCCTTAACAGGTGTACTCTTATGTACAGTTTCTGACGAGAGTTTCCACAAGAAAAGTTTGGGTTTCTGCATTTGTGTGTGCAACAAAACTGGAATTCAGTTTATCAACTTGGGCATTTTTGTTGTAAGTTCCATGTTAAATGCTTCTGCTAATGTTTTGAGGGACAATTTATGCATTGTTTGAATGTTACAACATTCCATCATTGTGATTCAGTTGAAAAGAACTTGTTTTGTGTACAGCACATGGGGAAAATAAAATGTCATGCATTCAAAATGTCTGTATTTGTCTTCTCTTAAAAATAAAGATTTACTTATTTTACTTCCAAAAAAAAGTCAAGCTTGACTTCACCTTTTCTATACCATCCTTCAACTTAGTGAATACACCCTGCAATATTTAAATTCTTTGAATTCTGTTCTCTCCTGTTTAATGTACTGAGGCAAATTTGAACTAATGTAGAAAAGAATTCAGGAGATCTAGTAGCATATTACTGCCTTGTATGTCTGAAATGAGTAAATGCTTGGTTTATATTAAGGAAAGCCCTTGGAAAACTGTAAAACCTCAGCAGAATATATACTGTTTTGTCATCTCCTGATTCTTCAGATAATGAAGCAGTTCATGTCCAAAAGCAGCAAGACCTGGACAATATCCAGGCTTGACGTGACAAGTGGTAAGTAACGTTCATACTGCACAAATGCCACCAATGACCATCTTCAACAACAGAAAATCTAACCATGGTCACTTTTGATATTCAAGGGTGTTACCATCACTGAAAACCCCACTACCAACAATCTGAGGGTTATTATTAGCCAGACACATTCAGTGGCTACTAGAACAGGTTGGAGGCTTGGAGGCTAGGAAGCTGCAGTGTAACTCACCAGACTCCAAACCCTATCCAAGGCACAAGTCTGGAGTATGATGGAATACTCTCTCAACATCCAGCACACCGCAGCCATTAAACTGGCAGCACATCTACACACATTCACTCCCTCCACCACCAACACTCAATATTAACAGTGTGCACCAATGACAAGATGAATTGCAAAGATCCACTAAGGCCCCTTAAACAGCACCTTCCAAACCCATGACCACTTCTTTAGAGAAGGATCAGGGTAGCAGATACGTGGGAACACCACCAGTATCTTGGCTTAGAAATATATCACCATTTCTTCAGTTTCACTGAGTCAAAATCCTGGAACTCTCTTCCCAATGCTGTTATGGGTATACAAACACTAAATGGACTACAGTGATTCAAGAACACAGCTCACCACCACTTTCTCGAGTTTTAACTTGGAATGGGCAAAGAAGGCTGGCTCAGCCAGTGTCACCTATATAAAATGAGTGGCTTTAGTCTGTCAAGCCCTTGAAAGAAAAAAAACTTGCATACACAATACTTGCGCTCCACAGGACATTCCAAAATATTTCAACCAACCAAGGGATTACTTTGCAACATCGGATTGAATTTAATGTCCTGGACACAGGTTGCATCCACCAGTTAGAAAACTAGTGGGAAATCAGCTTCAATTCAATGATGTATCTCAAACAAATGAGGTGACCAGTAAAATATTTAACTGGTTAGTGTTGGCCTTCCATGTGATTTACGACTCTGGTAGAAATCCTACCCACCAAGAGCTGCTGGCTGTCCGCTTTCTACTGCAGTCAACACCACTAGGATCAGGGGCTGCTGTCAGTAATGCTCCAAGCATTTCACCGAAGTTCATTGTTAGAATCTTTGGGACTCTGAGCGAGGGTAGACAGCAACTTGAAGGAGGGCTGGGCACTGAGGTTGAAGGTAAGACTGATGGAGTGCTTTTGTGTGGCTCTCTTCTTCCCAAAAAGGTCCTACAGGTACAAGGTGCCCGACAATGTGGAGCCTTCCGACAACCCTGTGGATCAGGTTTGTCAACTGCCTTTTGAAGTCTTAAGAAAGCTGTGTGACTCCCACTTAATCC